TTAAAAGTGGTACCGGTAGGTATCAACTTGCTTTCCATGGTGTTAGTCAGTGGGGGTATAGTATTCTTCAAATCATCTACTGATGACGTCATGTAATTATCAAGCGCCTTCTAGCGACAGGTTAAGAATTCAGAAAAGTGAATTTGGAGTAGATGTCTGTGGCGGAGTTTGTCCGAATCGCCTGAAAATTGACTCATATGATGATCTTCACCCAGTCAACACGTGTAAAGTTTGGGGCCAATGACGTCATCTGACTGGAAGTTATGATAAAAAGTTCTTGTATTTTTCAAAAAATCAACCATAACAGATTTAAGCATGAATTGTTCATTATATGATAGCTAAAACATTGAAGTCAACTGCATGAAGTGCATAAGTGGTTTACTTCTCCACACAGATGAAGCACCAACAATGAATACCCCCTTACAATATTTGCAAACTCAAAAATCTCTTTCACATACTGTGCATGGACTGCTGTGTGCGTGGACACGCAATATCTGCCTGTAATGTGTGGCAGACAGTGCACAGTGCGTAGGGAATATGCTCAAGACTTAGCAAGATGCTGAGTACTTAGTGTGGAGAGCAGATCGCATTGTATGGAACGCCAAATGACATAAATGTTTAAAATCTCTAATCTGTGCTTTTTCTGCAATAACAATCGTGTTTTGTATTGTATTTTGTATTGTACATGTCTGATTGGGTTGAAACCTTGCAGGTAGTTAGGAAGGGAAAGTTTATAAACGTAGACTGACCTCTGGTAATGACAATATCATCAGCAAACGAGTCACGTGACATTAAAGGTGCACTGTTTAAAGCCCTATATCTCCTGGGGTACACATCCCATCGATTTCAAACTTTACCGAAATGTCGTCGATGGCTTTGGTGATGCTCCGTGTGGACTCCGTGCAACTTGCCATGTCTTTTCCCCAAAAGAAATCCTGTGAACAATCCCACTGCTGCCACCAAATGGAGCGTGAACTCATGGGGTCTTGTCCTCCTGATCAGCAACACCAAAACAGGGAAACAACTCACAGGATTTACAACAACAAAACTTCTTTAATCCATTAAAACCTGGCCTACAGCTTTCCGCTCTGCAGTTACAACCACAACTACATGTACACCGTTACAACTCTCATCCAAAAGAGTGTATAATATTGTATTAACAATTTCCGTCCAGGAACTTTGCCAAACCCTCCCTCCCCCCAAACTACAAGCATCCCGAAATAGAAACCAATTTCCGCTGCGCACAAAATGTTATGCAATTACAAAAGAAGCGGTCCGTTACAATAGGAATAACCAAGGATTCTTTCCAATCTGTAGGAAATACACCAGTGGTGAGTGAGGTACAATGACATGTAGTTGTGATCTTACTAATAACTGGTAGCATCAGTCCATACAGTTCACCACTAAAGATATTGGCATGGGATCCAACGGACACAATTTGCAGCTCGAGTCCGTAATGAGCCTCTTCATCACTGCCTCAGTGAGCGGTGAGAAGCAGTTAATATATAATTTTAGAGAATGGACAGACCTCTCAATGGAATGAGATATCGTTGCATGTGCCCATAGTTCTGAACTTAATACTTGACCACCAAGCTTATTGTGAATTTATCAATTTTGGACTCAAAGAAACTTCCCATCTCATTTACCAACTCAAATTTATTGTCAAACGAGAGCAGGGGAGTCCAAGTGTGTTGTTTTGGCAACCAATTTAATAATCCTGAAAAGCTTACCTGTATCCGTAGAACTACTGTTAATTAAATCAGAATGTTAAGAGCGCCTGCTATCTGTCATTAATGCATCGAAAAATTAGAAAAAAATATTACATTCATGAAGCACCTACATGTATTTTGGCGCACTTTGATTACATTCTGACCCACTGTGTGAAGGGTTCCGACATCACAATATTTGCCAAGTTTCTATTGCTGCCCACCTGGTACCGGTAGGCAGGTACTAATACCAGTTTGAAGTACCAGTTTGCCTGCTTGCAAGCATTTTCACTTGAAATATGGAATTTGACAGTGTTCCCTTGAGTCTTTACCTGATGTTGTCTTAGCACAGTTACCTATTTGTCTCAGTCCTGGTGTCAAGTACATCATGGACATACAGTTTTCATTTTTCTTACCTTTGTAGAGACATCATGAATATCTATGCAGAACCTCCACCTGGTATGTGTGTTGTGCCAGAAGAGGACATTACAAAGGTCAGTGTAAGTGCTAAATGTGATATAACAAATGTGACCTGGTACATCGTAATCAGAATAAGTCGCTGAGGCTGTTTTATGTAATGGCCGAGTAAAGTGGAGATGTGGGTAAATGTTGAAAAATCAATATGGCAGTTTTTGTATATTTTGGAAGTACCAGTATATATATATGTATAAAAGGTCACCATCAACATACTTGTAAAGTGTACCATTTGAAAGCTTATGAAATTCTCTTTCTGACCATGTACATATCTCAAAAAGTCAGTTGGTGACTTACTCCTGACTACATTGTACCAGGCCGCATACATGTATATATTCTTACCCAACAAAATTAATCAGAAGTTATAAGAGCTGTTTGCAGTATGGGCCTGGTCACATTTTAGTGACATTAACTAAATGAAGAAAATGCCATTAATTGGTGAGTTGAAGTACATGTTGTTTGAATCAGCTTCAGGATGTGGAGATGTATCATTTCATCAAATCCATGTACATCTCATGACTCATTACAAGTAGTTGCTAGTCATCCCATGTTTGGGATGTTAGTAACACACCATTTTTTGTTTTGGTACAGGTACATGCCTTGATAACGGGTCCATTTGACACTCCTTATGAAGGAGGGTTCTTCCATTTCCTGATAAGATTTCCACCAGATTACCCAATAAGACCACCACGTGTAAAGCTTGTCACTACCGGGGAAGGAAAAGTCCGTTTTAATCCAAATTTGTATCGAAATGGCAAGGTCTGCCTAAGTATTCTTGGGTAAGTTTCTTCCATTTTTAGGCTGTTTCATTAAGGGTTCAACAAAACATACAGAAGTAAGCTTGGGAAATTCCCCAAGCAAATTCCCCAATTTGTCATTCAAAATGCTGCTTTTTCCCTGCATACAAACTTGAGTATATTGGTCCAATATGCAATGTTCTCCCCAGTACACAAAAGTAGCCAGTACCCATTTTTTCACCCTTGATGTGCACATGTAATTATCACTGGACAGCCAGTACTATCTTGCATAGTGCAGGTCTGTTTCGGTGAGATTAGGCCGAGCATTTCGCCAATATCTAACGTACATGCAGACGAAAAAGTAATAAGCCTAACAGCTGACCTGTTCTTGTTTTGTATGCAAAATAGATTCCCTCCCACCAATTACAGACCAACGGAAATTCCAAAATGTTAACACTTTCTTACGTCCAGTCCTTTATATGAACTGGTTCTCAAGTTTATTAAACCTTTACTTACGTGCAACATCGGGTACCAGTTTCCAAGTAGTGCTTTGCCGGGCCACGATGTGTCCATGGCACAGGGCGGCCGGCCAGTTACATTCACTGTTCTCTGCTGTTGCGTCAAACAAGTAGGCGAATTCAAAATCATTGTGTTATTCATTTGAATCATATTTATTAATATGATTTAAAATTAATTAAAAAGTTGAAGGCTGGCACATGTATATCGAATACTAATCCTCTGCGTATACTGTGCCGTACAGTACATGTTGGCCTACAGTACATTGCCATAGTGTGTAACAATGCTTGCTGGTACATGGTGCATGTCAACACGTACATGTATAACATTAGGTTCACCATAAGACAAGGTTTTTGGAGAGTCTCTTCGAGCTCGCATTAAGCATGTTTGACTGTATTATGAAATTTGTTTAGACTGCCATCATTTTTTAAGGACTGGCAAGTATGTCACTTATCCATTCAATGATAAGCCTACATGCATCTACATGTACATGTACATCAGTAACATACAGTTACATGTAACTGTTACACTTCACAATAGAGAATGAAGACCTCACAGGACAGCATCTCACTACCAGTACAGAAATGTAGCACGCAAAACTGTTTATATAACAGACAACTAATATAAGAATTAGATCAATACATGTATGCAATCAAAAAACATTGCTGAGTTAGTCATTAGATTTTCATAAATAGGACATACATATACATGGATATGTAATTCAATAAAAATAGTGCAGTCAACTCATTTAAGAAGCACATTGTTTCTCTTATCTTAGAGGCGTGATGGTGATTGCCCAAACGCAGGGTCTATTTCTATTACAGACCTGAGCTTTTGCTGGAAAGAGGGTCAAAACATGTTTTAGTTTTAGGTGGAAAGGCTTGCGGTAGCACCATGCGAAGAAATACATCTATTATGAGTGTGTGGTTCTGAAAAGAACTGGGAGTATACTCAACATTTCGGTCTCCTGACGACAGACTGAGCATGTGGTCTGAAACATTGAGTATACTCCCGGTTCTTTTCAGAAGCACACATACTCATAAGAGATATATTCCTTCACATGGTGCTATCGCAAGCCTTTCCACCTATTGCTGTCTTTCACCATGAATAGCCTAAAATTCCATATGTTTTAGTTTTGTGTTGGGCCTCAAAACAGAATAAAAACATATTTTCAATAGGAATAAAACAGGAATTTTTGCAAAAATTTAACAAGGGTTAGTACAATTTTCATTTTCAAGTTGAAGTTTTTCATCAGGAAATCTTAATGTAATATAGGGAAGAAAGTCCAGATTTTCTGTGTTAGGTGTTCTTGGCATTGTATAATGGCTCAAATTGTTCATGGTTTGGCATACTGTCTGTTCAGTTTTCACAGGTTTTACCTAAATAAATATGGAAATGACAAATTGTGCAAAGCATTTATATGACTCTGAACCCAACTTGATGTTTAAGAATTTGGTGTTCTTGACAAATTCTGGTTAGGTTAAAGTCTTTCCCCCCAAATAAAAAAATTATTGAAAAACTTCAGTTTTGGTCACAGGTTATTCTTGAATTGCTTTTACCTGAATGTTTGCTTGAATCTCATATCTGAGTGTGTTGTGACAGATCTGTCATCTTGAAGTAGCCAAGTGGACAACAAACACGCGCTGATTATCTGTCTTCTCCTAGGCACAGCATAGCTTGCAATGGCTTGCAGTTTCCTTCATTTAGCTCTTGCTGCCAAAAGTCGGCATAATTTGTCTATCCGCCCCAAGCTAAAGTGCGCCCCAAATCGGCAAAAGAAAGACAGGTGGTTATAAGCCCAGAATTGGAAGATTCAATATAATAAGTCGACAAACTTTTCAGTCATGAAACCCATGTTTTGACAACTCTCATGGCACTATTAACGCAAAATTTGGATGCATTTTCAATCAAAAATTAACATGTCATATTGATGAATTCACTCCCGAAATCAAGTCTTGAACCGTGTGCTTTGCAGTGTCTACATTGACAATAACCATTTTGTTTGTATGCGGTGCACATGCGTGTATAAAGTGCATTTGCATGGATGTTCTGTGGCATGCAATGAGCTGGTCCATTCGGCGTCATCTGGTTTTGTTTTTTGCCAGTGTGTTTCAAATCCCAAAATAACTGTCTTTATTTTTGACCGTTAATATGAATATATTCTAGCAAATCGTTATGAAGTATGGAACATTGCCATTCATTTTGAAAGGTAAATCATTTGCACAACTTAATCTGAACTGTATGCTACAAAGTGTTTAAAAGGAAAGTTTGTAATTGATCTCCCATGCATGCACCCCTACCGTGCGTGAAGGATAAGTGGATAAATCTGTCATGTTGATTGCACCATCGTGGCATCTACCAGTAAAGTTTTTATTATACGGTACTTTTCCTTTTATCCTATAAAAAGGCCAACTGTTGATGCGTTATCCTTTGTTTTGGTTATACAAAGAAATTATTACAGATCGTTGTGACGTGTAAACTAAATAGCACCACTGTTCAAAAGAGGAAACATTCTGCTTGGATTGAAATGTCAGTCCCTCAGTTTCTTTTGAATTGTACTGTGTATGTTTTTTAAGTCATGACAGCCAGTAAGTAATTTGCATTTTTTGTATTTGCCTACAAGAGTAAAGATTGACAGTCGGGCCCATCCAAGTATCAAGTACGACTGGTTTTGCACAGAAAACTCTTGAAATTAGCATTTCTCACCTTGAAAGCATATCAGGGTTACTGGATCAATCGTACTGTGCAGCTCATGATACAAAGTAATACATACCGAGGATAGGCTGTAAGGTCCCTGGAAGTACTGCAAAATATGAATACATACATGTTACGCATGTAGTTTAAGTCAGGGCCAGGTCTGTGTCTCCACCATGCATGTTTTGCTCATGTAGGCTGGTATAATGTGGTGAGGCATTTGATACTGTATTAATGTTCAAAGTTGTCACCGTGTTTTGACTTCGTTCATTTTTTAATTTCCCACTCAGTACAAGAACTGAATGCTGAAAAATACTCAACTAGTCCCTTTCACTTGGCACCACTTATAACATTTACTTTTCGAGAATTCCTTTAGAGTTCACAAGTGATACAACACATGTAATAGCTTGGTGGAAGAGCTACTTAACATCAAATAATTATTTCTTATTTCCTCTGTAGGTCAAACGTAGTTACTTCTAGGGTTCGACTCTTATTTTTTAGCTCTTACCAAAAACATTCACCGACCTCTACATATTCTGGCATTAATTTGCCGAGAAAACCCACCCTAGCTGTAAACTGTTCATCAATTCTCTTTATTTTGTATTCAACTTGCCATTTGACTATAACCTTGTGTACAATCTGGGCTGAAATATTAGCTGGGATATTCTTCAGGAGGAATTTTTTCATCGAAAGATTTGATGCGAAATTATTTTAATTTCCAGAGCATTTTAAGCAGAACCTTAGTCATGTTAGTGACTCGAGACATGCTTAAGATGAGCAGAGCATGCAGTTTTCTCAATGATCAGTTGACTGTGAAAAGGCAGAGTAAAAACAAGCCTCAAAATGCACTCTTGAATAAAAAAGGACATAAGAAATATGTTCAGGCAAAGATAAGTTTACAATTTCTAGCTCACGTCATAAAAATGAAGGAACCCTCCATCGAAGCAGAGTGTGAGAGCCGCTCAGGCATGGCATGGTCCTTCCACTGGCACCTGCGCACACTCCGCAATACAATGTTGCGCCGCAGGTACCAGTCACATGCACGGCATGTACATATACACACTTGCGCAATACAATGTACGTGTACATGTACAAAACATACGCAATGGTTTTTTGGGACACGAGGTTGACTATGCATAACGGTCGGCAGCCAGTGATCACCTGAGATCTGAGATCCAAATCATTCATTAGGCTGTGGCTTTAAATTACACGTTGACAAATTGGGCACTGGCTGCGGCCTCTCTACATAGACTCGCGCATAACATCAGGTCGTAGCCAAGTTATTTGGACCCAGCCTAGTTTCCGACAAATACGCCCTCTTCTACTTTAATAAACTGGTTCTCGAAATACTACATTTTGAAAATGCATTATACGGGAGGAGGGGGACCAGTCCACACCAATACACATGCCTTACATAATGCAACGTTGCTGCACCTCTTGGTATTCCTTGTCATTGTCAGTAAATCATAAGCCTCGTCTGTAAATTCAAACTCGACCCCCAAACTGCAGTAAACCTCTTTTTTATTAAAATTTTGAGAAAGTTGACTTTCGGGGAAAAATACACTACTCAAAAAAATAGCAGGGTGGCCCAAAATTTTGGCAGGGCAGTCCGCCCTGCTAAAACAGCCCATGGAGAACACTGAGGGCTTATCACATGTATTCTTTTCTTATAATGAATACTTCAGCCTTGTTTACCATGTGGACCGACCTTCCTACGCAATCACCTCCGGTGGTGGACCATCCTTTCGTACCTCTAGGTCCGGATGTAACTCTGACGATGGACGTGTTGCTATACTGATGGGGAGCCCCTCTTCCTGCACTCCATGCCTCCGGGGACTGGGACACTGCCTCTTATGACATACACATCAATGTGTCAGAACCTCAAGCGGTGTTCAATGCTTTTCCCAACTTTCCACAACACTGTTCGAGTCTAGAGTGACAACTCCATGGCAGTGGCATACATCAATCATCAGGGCCTCACTCGCTCTCCCCAACTCTGCGTCCTTGCGTGTCAGCTCTTCATGTGAACAAATGATCAAGGCATCACCCTCCAAGCTATCCACATAGCAGGAACTAGCAACAGCATGGCAGATGCACTCTCTCGGGGTGCCGTCGGACCAACAGACTGGACACTTCATCCAAACATGGTCTGCCAGATCTTCACAGATCTTCATATTGCATCCGCCGACAATGCCCATCTCTTGACGTCATTGTCCAGTTAGATTGTTTTTTTGAGGAGCAGTTATCATGGTTTTGTGCGGTACTACTGCTACTACTCTACACTGTCAATGAAATTCAATGAAAGTGTTCCTCTATAGGTGGGTCCAGTTCAAAATAAATGAATGCATTCTCATATACACATTTGTGGTTATTGTTCAGAAGTCTGGAAACCACATACATCTTTACACAAGTGCTCAGGAGTACCTTCACAGTGACTTCTTGTAGTCTCAAAATATCTCCAAGAAACCACTCCACACAGATGCAAACTTGGAACAGCTGCATTGAATGCTTCCAGGTCTCTGGTGATTATTGTAGTCGTTTGGAAAGTTGTTTGTAGCTGTGGGCACAAAGGAGAGGCCAAATGATCAAAATATAAAACATTTTGATTTAAAAATGCATTTTTAAAGCCCCAAATTATTACCCTAATTTTAACTGATACTGCTTTAATTCAAATGTTATTTTTAATTATTCAAAATCGAGGCAGGTAAGCTGTAATTCTGAAGCAAAGTACCCTACTAAAAGTGACCTTTTCAAACCAACTGATTTTTTAATTGGATTTAATTGAAATGAATTGGGTCTAACTGGCAAACAATTGGTGCTCAATTGGTTTTGGTAAGTTTTCTCTTCCGTTTGTTTTCTCCCATCAATTGGAGAATTCAAATGAGATGCAATTGGTTTTAATTGGCATTTTTTTCTTTGCTGTTTATTTTTCCCAATCAAGTGGAATTTCAAATGGGACACAGCTTGTTTCAATTGTTTCTTCAGTTGGTTTCAATTGGATTGTAAATTGGCACTCAAATGGTGTCAATTGGTTTGAAATGGTCCAACTGAGAAAAGGTCCAAATTTATTATTCAAACCAATTGTGAACCCAATTGGATTCCAATTGATTCCAAGCAAAAGCAATTGGTTTTGAAATTGGTAATTGAATTGGTAAGTGAATTGGATCCAATTGGTATGTGAATTGGTTCCAATGGGTAAGTGAATTGGATCCAATGAGTAAGTGAATTGGTCTCAAGAAGTAAATGAATTTAACACTTTCAGTAGGGTAGGGTTACTAGACATGTCAGAATGCAGTTTGGTCAATTAGGCTTCATTACAAAGCACCGGTATTATGGTCCCATCATCAGGACCATGTCCATTATCATGCTCACCACTGCATGTCATGTGAATTCAGCTTTCTTACTTCATTGAAGTAGTCCAATGTAAATAAAAAATTGGTCATTTTCATATTGGAAATCAGGGTTACCACATGTACATGCAGGTACATTGATATCATCCAGAAGCATGAACTCTTCGTCATCCAAAATGTCATAGAAATATGCTTTGAGAAGCATGACAAGGTTATCTCTGATTCTGTGTAGATTCGCCATGTTAATTTTTACAATCGCAATTGATTGAGAGCATTTTCACTGTATTGATACGTGATCATGCATCCTGTGCCCAGCTGTCACACCTTCCTGAAATCAAAACAGCTTACAAATATGGATGGAAGCTTGTGTGCGAGGACTCGCATTTGATTCACTCTCTGGTAGTTAATTTGTTCTGCGGGTCATTAATTTGTTTTTGCAGTACATGGACAGGTCCAGCATGGAGCCCAGCCCAGTCTCTGTCCAGTGTGTTGATCTCTATCCAGTCACTTATGAATGACAAGCCGTACCACAATGAACCTGGATTTGAACAGGTAGGCTGTATCATGAAAAGTTAAGTGTTACAGTCAAGACCAGAGAGTCTGAGACCAAGATCAGCAGCATGAAACAAAGACTAAGACCAGGGAGGAAAGAGTAATCTGAGACTAAGACCAAGACTGACAGTCTGAGACCAAGAATGAGACCAAGACCACACTTGTAAAAAAAGGATGGAAATCATCTGTGTGTGTTTACCTAAGACTGTGAGAATAAAGATGGGGTATGGCCGTACATAGGTATGTTTTTAGTATGCCAGAATGGTCGTGGAGTGCACTTCAACATTGTTGTGGGTTTTCCCTTTGCATTCTTCAATGTCGTGTTTACTTTTCGATCCACTTAAATGTCACATTATTCCAGGCACAATGCGTGTAGCCTGTGTATTAACTAAAACTACAATACAGTGACATCTTAAAAAAGTGTTTTCTCCAAATGTATTTTACAGAGGTGCCCCTGGCCCTCCCTTGCTCTGTAGAAAATGCCATGCTATCATGCTAATCTCAGACTCAAAATAAAGGACTTGGAAGACAGTGTATTGTGTTTATGCCACAGCCACTGAGGAGTGTTTTATTCCAGTTACCACAGATAGGAGCATACCGGTTGAACAGTCAATTGTTACAGTTATCATATTAAATAAAGGGCAATATCGGGCCCAACCAGGCATGGGTAACACCAGGCCCAAAGCTACAAAGGCATGCACAAACAACGAACATACATTATGAAAGATGGAATTCGCATGTAAGAACGGACATATATGAAACAAATAACTGCAACACAGTGAGGGCAACCATATGCCCTTTCGGCAACACCAGGCTCGACCAGTAATGCCACGTTTACACTTGATCCTGCAAGGATCAGATTCGGCGAGAGCAATCAAGCGAGGGAATCAGATCCGTGCTGCATGTACACTGGATCCTGATCCTGCGTGGCATCGATGAAATGCTGCAACCTCAGGGCAAAGGTTCACTGATTATGCGCACTGGAGCAAAACGTCAGCCAGTATTACATATACTTACGCGATGTATGTATGTCTCATTGTCTTATCTTAGGTACATGTAGTTTCAGATGAAATGATGAAAAATGGGGAAATGGAAGGTTTTGGGTCAGCGATATGCAGCGGTAACGAAAGCCACTAAAGGTGACTCCGATAAAGCGTGGGAATGGGCAAGTACCAGTTTACTACCAACTCACAGGACAAAAGCACATGGGCTTAATTGGGAACAAGCATAATGCTGGTTATGTACATAGCGGCCAGACCAACAGCGTATGTATGGTGCGTGTACAATGTCATGTAAGTATACATGACATGTCAGTCTTCACGATGACACACTTGTTTTTCGCTCGCTTCAAGACTTGCACTGGATGTAGTTACGTCAAATTCTGGGATCTGATCCAGCGTTGCGTGTACACTTGCAAATTGATCCTGTGCACGGGATCTGAACCGGATCTGATCCTTCCCGAGAGGATGATCTGATCCTGCATTGCGTTTATACATGTTTTGAGCCGGATCTGATCCCCATGCCGGATCTGATCCTCCTCGCCAGATCAAGTGTAAATGCAGTGTAATAGGCAACTATGTGCCGAAAGCCACTGCAGCATACATGATATACTTGACGAAAAATGATATGCATGTATATGTAAATGATGAAATATATGGCAATAATTGACAACTAATAAAATTGAACATGAATAACAAAATATTATCTTCCCACTGATGATACATTCAGTTGGGAAAACATAGCTTCTTGACACTTGAAAGTGCTATATTGGATAAGAAAAGGAAGAGGAAAGGGTGGTGGAAAAATTTTGTGGCAGAAAATTCTCCTCTCTTTACTCTGTGGTTGGCTGTGACCAAGTGACCACATGCTGGCTTCAAACATGCTTTAAGAGACAAAGGGACCCTACATGGCCGAGCTATTAAAAAGATTTATGATGATGATCCTGCATTGGCATTCCTGAGCTGCCTCCTGCTTGGTTACCGTCACCCAGAATTCTGGACACAGTGTCTCCTGGACCAGTCCATCACTCAACAACTGCGCCATGATCAAATAGCCCTTCACTGAGTATAAAACCTTTACCATGAATTGGTAAAGGGAGCTATCCTGAAAAGAACACAAGTTTGTTTTGTTAAAGTATCAATAAAGCAACTGATATCATATTAAAAGGAATCTAGTGTGTCATGCTGTTCTGAAAAAACCCAAGTTCTTGTTGTAGCAGCATTAATCAAATGGAAACAATTCCATAGGGATGCCACTATATTTCCCCGTAGTTACTTATTAGCTTTCACAAAGGAATAACGTGACCTGAACAGTCAATTTAGCAGGAAAATTCACAATGGATACACAATTTTTCAGACCAGTCTCATGGGGTTTATGCACCGGGTGTCAAGCAGCACCCATATATAGAACTCTTTCCCTCAAGGTGGATGCATACTATCCAACCCCAGCTGAACGCTTGTTTTCATAAGTTCTGTGGTTCTCACTATTGAATCGTTCACAATCAAAAATGGTGCCTCAACCAGTGCATAAACGTCTAGTTAACGGACAATGTGACTACAAAGTAACGTATGCTCCACAAACACTTTATGCAATATACAAGCATCTCTAGACTGGTCTCGAGACCAAGACCAGTCTTGATGACTACAACACTGGAGAAGTCTAACCCTTGTAACCCTTGTAAGTATTAACCCTCCTATGCTGAAGTCACTCTTTGCGTCACTTGGTAAACACCTCAAAGAAGCACAGCTGTGTTGTGTTGTGCACTACACCAACAAGCAAGAGAGTGACCTGGGGCACTTGTGCATATTTGTGCTGTAAAACTAAAGGAGGGTTAATACATGTATACTGTTACGTGTGGAGAATGCACGGCAGAAGAAAAATCAAAAGACGGGAATCAGGACACTAAAACATACGAGCAAAGGACAATAAAGGAACTAATTTGGAATAACATTTAATTATTAACTTAAATCAGCAAAGCAGTAAATTAAAACAAAGTAAATCTAGTGGTTTGCTGCAACTTAAACTTCCCATGCAAGAACATTGTGAA